TCGACTCGATCAGGTTTTATTTTTTTTATGTACTGTAAGTTTAATCACGTTATTATGTTGATTTATTCCAGTTTTTGGTTTTGCCCAAAAAGCGTTTGCATAATTTTAAATTATATTTTCCATTTAGTTTGGTACTATTTTTCTAACAATCTTAAGACAGATTGTCCTTTGGGAAAATATAAAATTTTGATTAGTGTAAATAGAAACACAACCCAAACAAAGGAGAATTTCCTGGGAATTCCAACAGTATATTCATTGTTACTGTTTATTTGTTTAATTTTCCAAAAATGAAGAGAGGATTTCATTTCCTTCCTGTATGAATGAGGATATCAGGTTTTATATATGATCAAGATCATTTGGTGATTTCATTGGAGACGGGTACACTGGATTATCACTCTTTAAGTGGTTATTACTAATAGTTGCAGGCAGTTACTAACAGAAATTCTAATTATATAGGCACCTTTCCAAGTTGAAAGACATGTTTTCAAAATTTTCAAATTCTGAAAATTCAGACTAATGGTTGTGTTCTTTCATATAGCAAACTCTTTTGAGTGGGGGCAATTATCACCTTAAAGAAAGTGTCCACCATATGCCTCAAAGTCGTTTTTGGTTGATTCTGTGTTTCTTGTGACTTGCTGTTTCTCACAATTTTAAGGTGATATTTCGCTCAGTTGATATAATGGCTTTTAAGGTGTTGAATCTAAAGTTCGTGAAACTGGACAAGTTTGATGGAACATATGATGGTGTTCCGTACACAGTCTTGGAATTTGTATTTGTTTTTTGGTTTTTCAGTTCTAGAATTGTTTTTAGAAACTATTTCAACAGTTTTGAACTTATGAGTTTTGAGTGATTTTTGTGTCAGATCTGGATAACCCAGATCAGGAAAAAAAAAAAAACAGAAATCAGTAAAATTTCAATGTGGGTATCAAGTTTCAGAGATTTCCTAGGGTGTTAAGGTTCAAGATATGTGTTATGTGTTTAACCATTTGAAATTTACGGTTCTTGTTCACAAGTAGGAGGAGCCCAATGTGGCTTGTGTGATGGGTACTGGGGACGCTGTTGAGATGATCCCAACGAATAAGAAGTCTGAATCTGAGTTTCGTGAATCGGGTTCAGTGGCTATGGCTGTTAAGGAAAGTTTTTCTATTGGCTTTCATCTTGTTCATTGTGAATTTCTATAGAAGAAACTGATTCTGGTACATAAGACCACTATGTTAAAATATATATCAATATATATATTTATTTGTTCCAAAGGCAATTGTGAGTAAGTTGCAAATCCATGTTAAAATGGTAATGCATGACAAGTTTGATTTTTCTGTATTGATGCTTGGGCCAAATCATATCTTCTTTGAGTTTTTATTTTTCCTCATAGGTTCATGGATTAATTTAAATTTATAATCTGTTTCTGTTAATCGATATTGTAAAAGTTGATCATGCGGTATATAACTGAATGCATTGTAGATGTATAAACTGTTTTAGATAGTATTGTTGGCATGCTATCAACGTATATCAAACGGTGTATAATGGAATCATTGGCATCTTTTCACAAATTTATTTTTGGACTTGGGCCAATCATTACTCTATGTAGTGGGTTTATAAATGGACTTACTTGTTTATATTGACCTGTGTATGGAAAATTGTTGTGGATATAAAAGAAATGTGTCCAATTTTATTATATAAAGACCTAAAACAATATATTGTTTTATATGCCTGGTTTGAAGTGGTTAAATCCATATATTGGATTTAAGTCATTGGGTCTAAGGTTTCAAATTTATATTCATGGTTTATTTTAATAAATAGCCCACAAGATTATTTGTGGCAGTTTCAAGAATATATTTTAAAATCAAGTTATGATTTTAATTATAAAAAAAAAATCAAGATATTACTTTTGATTGGTGATCTCTTGAAATTGAGAAAATATAGAGTATATGTTATATACTTGAGAAAATTTTTTGAATGTAATTTGATGTCATTTACATGTGCATTTTAATTTGTAGCAATTCTAATTAATTTGCAATGAGCCTTCTGGTGTCATATGTTGCCATGAAATCTAGTTTTTGACTGATTTATTGCCAGTACTTTGTCTGGGATTTAACTTAAATTTTATTTGACAGTTTGTGAAACTTTTAATTAATTTGTGATTGTGATGATGACATATCAATGGTTCTCTTGTGGGATATTATTTCGAAAAGTATATTTCATGTGTAAATAATCCTTAACACTAGAAAAGTTTAAACATGATAATTGAAATAATGGTGTCATTCCATTTAATTAGAAGTATATTGAAGAATCTTTTATGTTGATTATTAGTTTGTTAATAATCAAGTTGAAAGTTATTTTTAAAGTAACTTTGAGTTTGTGACATAAATGTCATCAATCATTATTTTACTTGTATAGTAGAATTTGTTTAACTATGAACCATAATATTAATGTGGGCGTTTATCTTTTGAATGAGAAAAGATAATTCAATTTTCTTTGTCCCAAATATTCATCAAAAATGAATTATTAGTTGTGGCAGTGACACTTGTCTGGGAATGAATCATGTTGTTTGTGCTAATTATGTATTATCACAAACGTGGGGGAAGAGAGATTCCTTGTCTACATATGTTGTAGAGTTGACAATCAATTTATGATGTCATTAATATCAATTTGGTATGCGGTGTATTATAAATGGATATCAATTATTTATCAAAGTATTGATAAAAATGTAAACTTATGTGTTTTGACATAAGAGAAAATATTTTGGTGGTTGATTGATATTTTGTGATACTTGTTTGTAATATTTGTTAGATTGTACAAAATTGGTCAAATAGAACTTGTTGAATTTTAAAATAAATATAATAATAAAAAAAAATTGCATATTCTATGGCAAGCATAATAAGTCATTGTATTGCATATTTTACGACGCGCAATCAGTATCGTTATTTATCTCACCAATTAACGGCGTGCAAAAGTAATCGTAGAAAAAGTAACAACGACGCACAAAATCTGCCGTTAAATAATTTTTAACGGCATACTATAGCATGTCGTAGAAAAAGTAACAAAGACGCACAAAATCTATCGTTAAATAATTTTTAACGGCATACTATAGCATGTCGTAGAAAAAGTAATAACGACGCACAAAATCTACCGTTAAATCATTTTTAATGGCGTACGAAGCATGTTGTTGAAAGTGAATGACTTTCTATGACTGGTCGTAATATGACGCGCATTGCATGTTGTTGAAGGGTTTTTACGGCATGCATTGCGCGTTGTAAAAACCTTTTTTTGTTGTAGTGATATGTTCCATGATCAGCGATAAAGCTACCCAATAAGTCACCGGGTTGATTTTCTCTAAAATCTCGTATGGCCAAACATATCTCGGTGCTAACTTTCCCTTTACACCAAACCGAGTTTGCCCTTTCATTAGAGTCACTTTGATAAACATGTGATCCCTGACTTCATATTCTTTATCTCTTCTTCGGACATCTGCATTACTCTTTTGGCGGCTTCGTGCAGTTTTCAATCTTTGTTGAATCAATTTCACATTTTTTGTTGTTTCTTGCATAAGTTCCAATCCCAACAAAGGTCTGTCACCTACCTCGACCCAATAGATTAGAGAACGACATTTTCTACCATATAAAGCTTTATAAGGAGCCATACCGATACTTGAATGGTAACTGTTGTTATATATAAATTCGGCTAATGGTAAGTAGGTATTCCAATTGCCTTGGAAATCTATGACACAAATTCTGAGCATATCTTCCAAGTTCTGTATCGTTCTTTCTGATTGACCATCTGTCTGTGGGTGATATGCATTGCTCAATTTTAACTCAATTCCCAAAGCTTGCTGTAGACTTTGCCAGAATCTTGAAGTGGACTTAGGATCTCTGTCAAATACAATAGACACTGGCATATAGTGTAATCTCACAATCCCATTCACATACATGTTAGCCAATTTATTCGCATTATTAAAAGTTTTGACAGATAAAAATGTGTGGACTTAGTCAAACGATTAACAATTACCCAAATAGAATCCATACCTCGAGAAGAGTGAAGCAATCCTACAATGAAGTCTATAGTAATATGCTCCCATTTCTACTCCGGTATCGGAAGTGGCTGAAGCAATTAGACGGATGATGATCATTATTCAGAATATGTCGTTTCTAGCATTTGAATATCTAATGATTATGACATGGATGGTTCCTTATTTTATTTAATTGCGCCTTTTGATCATGTTTATTCTATGTCCTAGGTATATGGCATATATTATGGACACTAATGAAGAGGAGAGAGTTAAGGTATTTTTCGTGTGTCTAGTTTGGGTCACTTCTTCTCAAAGGAAAAGGAAAAACCAAAAAGGGTCAATTTACTTGCAATGTCTCTCAATACATAGCTTTGATCTAAGAAATGTAATTGCTATTTAGATTTTAGTTCTTTCTAGAGCATCCTCTTCAAATATAAATCCTAGTTTATTTTAGTTCTTATCATTGATTAGTTTCTATTTCTTTTCTTCCTCAGGTACACCTTATTCTGAAAGAACTAGCGAGGAAATCACTATCAGCAACACAGGTAAACAATCTTCAATTTTTTTCCCCCAGTGAGATGGATCATCTTTGGTTAGTAATATTTCTTTGCAAAATAATTTAAATAATTTACTACCTAACCTCAACATGTTTATATTTCTACACATTTGGAAGTATTCAAGTTGTTTGGCGCATCTGACATGCATACTTCAGTTAGTTTGAAATATTCCCTGTTCTTAAAAAATGTAAGTAAAAAATGAGTTTCTTTATTAGGTGAATGATCCTTGTATATTTAAAAAGTTGAGAATGTGACAATGTGAACTGGTGTTTCCTTAAGATGTAGAAGTGTATAATCTTCTAATCATTATCTTATTCTGCAGGTCCTTCAAAAATATGTAAAGAATTGGATATCAATTGTTGTACCATTTCAGGATAAGTGATGACATACCAGTTGACAAGGATACTGGTTTGAGATTGCAACTTGATATGCCAATTTTTGAAAGTTTTTTGAAAGCAGAATCAAACATTTTGGACACTTTGAATTTTAATTTTTGTAAAATTTTACTTTCTATGTACTCATTATGATTTGGGAATGGAGTGTCTTTGATGTGTAGATGTCAATTTTTTTCTTTTTTGTATGATTGGATGACATTTAATTTTTGTGCATTTTTAGCTATCCCAACTTTGATTTTTAGCGACGAAAAAGTGTAGTAGAGAAAGTTATTTGTCTTTTAGCGACCAAATATAGTTGTCGTTAAAAATGTCATTAATTTGTTTTTCGCGACCAAATTGGGATATTTTGTGACGAAGTATTAGCGACTAAATGTTTAGTCTTGTAAAATCAAACATTTTGTGGCAATATAAAATTGGTCGCTAATTGTCATTTTCAGTGATATTTTCAAAAATTCGTCACTAAAGACTTTTCTAGACGCACTTTTAGTGACTTTTTTAGTGATGAATTTAATTTTGTCACAAAAACTATTTAGAGGCCAAAATAATGATTTTAGCGACCAAAATAATTGGTCGCCAAAAGTCTTATATGTTGTAGTGACGTATGAACAAGTATAAATAAATAATCAAAATTAGTTTTTAAATTTAAATAATAATATAAAATTTATCTAAATATGTAGTAAAATGGTTCATAATCAATTAAATTTTATTTATTTTATCAAAGTTACACATAAGAGAGTTTTTATTCTGATATCAACAATTTTGTGTTCTAGATTCTTAATAAAAAATACATGTCATAATTTAATTAATAAAAATTCAAAAATAAATTACAAAAGTTATATTTATGATAAAAAATACATTTTATTTTAAATGTTCTGTAATTTTAATTTGCCATATGATAATAGTAAATTACATTTGTTAATATACTAATTTTTTCTTATTTTGTAAAGCCTAAAAAACTCTCTACTCAAAATTGTTAGAAGTTAGTTGACTCAATATTTATGTCAATGTGACATTCATCTAATTATTAAAAATTGTTTTGATCTATATCTAACTTATGAATCATTTGACCTATTTATTTATTAAATTGGTAAATAAATATTTGTAATTATTTTTTTATAATAAATCATATGAACATATTTTATGCATATTTATTAAAAATTTTGAACTTAAGTAAAAAATTATATATTTATGTTAACACTATGAAATGAATAGTTATTTATATTTATGTATAAAAAAAAATAAAAAAATAAAAAGTTATCTAAGATAGAATCACATTAAATTATAGGTCATATTCTAGTCTTAATCTTACACTTAATATATAAAATTGATAAGTTAATTTGTAAAAACGTCTGATAATTATAAATTTAAATATTTATGTATAAATTATATCATTGATAAGTAGAATATTTTATAATAATCAATTCAAATTGACTAATGTCCATTATATCAGTATTAAAGTATATTTAAATCTTTAAAAAAATTATCAAAGGTTAGATTGGGCTAACTCATGAACTATGTTTTAGCCTAAAAATGCAATGGATCATAAAAATTTATCCCGTAAGTGAGTGTATGCTATAAATTTAAAGTTAGTAAGACGTGGGTTGCACTCACAATAGATGTAAACCATCATTTTCATTTTTTGAATATTTTGTTTGGTAGTCAAGTGAAATTTTATATCAAATTCATTAATTTGAAGTTAATACTTAAAAATTTTAAACTATTCAATATAATATTTTTTCAATAAGATTATGACATGCGTACTTGACATTATTGACTGTAACGCCCTCAAAACAAAAGCATTAAACCCATTAGATAAGACATGCATTTATATACAAAGCATCCACATTCCTTTATTCATTAGAGTTCCATATACATATGTATTACATGTTAACATCGAAACAAAATGCCCTACGGGCTTACAGCTTTCCAAGTTAACACTTGGTTACAACAAAAAGGTGCTAACTCGTTTACAAATTAAGCCCTTGGCTTGAAGTTACATGTAATACATCAAAAGTTAAGCGACAAAACATGTCCGCCACTAGCCTCCCAACTATGTCCTTGGAGGTGGCATGCTTCCTGTACCTGAAAATGATATTCCCATATAGGGTGAGCCACAGCCCAGTAGAAATACACTAAATATAGCGATCCCGGGTTTACCCTTGTTGTACAGTGATCTGGACATGTGTCCGTGAATGTTGGTAGTT